TTATACACACATTCCAATCCCTCACAAGAAATGCACACACTATGCACTTCAAATATGTACTAATAAAAAAATTAAAAGTTAGGAATACGCTATTCGGCCAACAAACCCACACAAGACTAGAGAAATTTCAAGTTTGTAGTGCACTGATAGCAGCAAGAAAAGCCAAACTCTGAATAAGCAGTGATTTAATTGATTCAATTCCTTGCAATGTGGCCTAAAAGAAGGGGCATAAAACGATTTCTCTCAGCCCTAAGGGAAATATTGGGGGATATGGGAGCATTATGTCTGAAGTTTTTTCTCAGATGGGAACGAGAGAGAGAGAATGATAAAACCAACAGAAAAATATTGACAATTGCTAAAGCTGGGTAAAGGGTATATAGAAACTTCGTGAAATAATCTTGCAATTTCTGGGGTAAATTTGAAAATATGGTTTTAATTTTTTTAAAAGAATCAAGAAAGAGGTTAACTGATGAACTAACAAGCTACAGGGCAACACCCTAAGTAGAATTAAGCACAAGGCACAAACAAGATCCAGTGTGTGTGTTCAGTAGTAAAAGCAGAAATAGAAAAGGCACAGGACCAAGCAAGATGTGAGATATAACGTGAGCACACAATGAAATCCTTGGAGAAGCAGCCGAGTCCTTCTCAGAGTCAGGCACTGACTCGGGTAAGTAAAAGAGTACCATGGATAGAATAAAAGCACCTCAAGGAGCCTTTGAAAATAAAAGGGAAGGGCTGGGGATTTAGCTCAGTGGTTTGACTGCCTGTCTCGCAAGCGCAAGGACCCAAGTTCGATCCCTGGTACCAAATAAATAAATAAATAAATAAATAAAAGGGAAGCTGAGGCTGCTGCCTTCTGCAGAGGAGCACGGAGCTCACTGCTTTGTGGATGCCCTGAGAGATGGAGACAAGGATGAAGTGTGCATAGGGGTTTAAGGATACATGAATAGTATGTTTATGGTATCTGTCAAGCCCCAAAGAAGCAGTAAAAACTGTCTACGCACCAAGGGAGCAAACACTCTGAGCAGAATAACCAGAAAATATTAAATGGGCAAAAATTGTTTTTAAAAAAGCACACCTCCCCACCTCTGCCCTCAATACATGCAAACCTACAACACACACCAACAGCACATCCATTTGCATACAACAATGCACATATTTAACAGTGCATTCGGTACACGCAACATACCTACCAAAAGTATCTGTGAAATGATAGCTGTGGTCACCAACGTGAAAGAGAAGATTCCTCAGGGGTTAAAAGGCAATTTATGGCATCTAGTAAAGAAACGGGGACACAGGAGGTCGCTGGAGGATGAAAAGCAGACTTGAGCTCTATTATTCTTTGGTTCCATGTTTGTGAATTCACCTTCTCACCAAAATTTGTCACCTCAGGATCAGCTCTCTACAGCACTTTCGAGGTCATTTGCTGACTGCGCTGGGAAGTGAAAATTTTGAGTTACTGGTGCATGCTCTGACCTGGGGTCAAACAACCTTCTGCCTTTCTGTGTCAGCTCTCATACTTTTAAAGGTGTCCTCTTTGCTGTCTTAGTGACATGGTGGAGCATTTTTGTGCCTTGTGGTTGGTGATTTTGCAGCATGAAAGCGGCCTCGAGGCACAGTGTTGAAGTGCAGCCTAATGTCCCTAAGCACAGGAAGACCGCAAAGTGTTTTAGGATGTGTCTGCCCTACACTTTGTTCTGGCATGAGTTACAGTGCTGTTGGCCATGAGTTCGGTGTTGATAGATCAACAATGCATATTGAATGTCTTTCAACAGAAATGTATAAAATACGTTATGCATTGGTAAGTGACCAGACGCTTGCAAGAACCTAACCCTGTCTTTCTCCTGGGAGTAATGGTTTCATATTGGTTACTCCAGTGTGTTCATGGAGATTAACCTCAAACAGCAAAAGTCACCTGCACTTGGTTAGAAAGAAATGAGTCTGATTCAAAGTGGGTTTGAGGACAGGGTATGAGAAAGAAGATCAAGAGTTTTGTCAGCGGAGCCATTTAAGGTTGAAAACAAGCATCAGAACATGTTGTGCTGATATGGGTGTTTGTTTTTATTGGTAGTAATTTTAATTTCCTGAAGTAAAAATCCTTAGAAGGACACCACAGTGGGAGGGAAGGGTCTAAAAGGGTGAACCACTATTAAAAATGTCTTTTCATGGGGCTGAGGATTTAGCTGAGTGGTTCCGTCACCTGCCTCGCAAGGGCAAGGACCTGACTTAGATCCCCGGTACCAATAACAAAAAAAAATATGTTTTCACATGCTTTGGCATACGTGTCCTAAGAGCTAGTTGTGAAATCAGCTGCAGGCTAAGTATTACTTCATCAAAAACTAATTTGGAAAAGGGGGTAACTGTGACACAGCCACAGCAGGCCTTCACACACAACAGTGCTGCCCTGTCTCTGCAGGAGCTGGGGCACAATGCCAGCATTATAGGCTTTTATCATTGTGAAAGAAATGTTCTGGATTTACATAGTCAGGAGACGCTGTAGTTTGAAATGCTGGCGTATGACAATTTATTTCTGTCTAGCAGTTGATATCATTTCACAACCAAAGTATAAAGCCATGTTTCTGTGTCAATTAGAAATCACAGCACTGGTAATTTAAATGCTCTCAGACAGGTGTAATAGGATAATTAGATATTCTGCCCCAAGATAAAGCAACAAGAAGATTGCTTTCCTAATTATTCTTTTGTAATTATTGAATAATTAATATAGATAGCTAAGTGTAATATCTAACTATCTCAGTTTCTCTAATGCAAAAGGAGCCTGAGATCTCTAGAAAAAGTATTTTTGAATACTTTGTGGATGCAAAGTATTCATTCAAATAAAAGGACACCCGGGGATACTGTCAAAAGTTTAGAAAATGGGAGACACTGCAGACACAAGACTTTATGCATCCTCACTTCCAATCTAAAGGATGAATTAACTTACGCCAAGAATTTAATAAACACAAACATGTTTGTCAAATACTACTATATTCACTTTTTTTGAATCATGAGGAAGCATTTCAAGAGCTATCATACCACCCTAAATTATAGAAAGATCCTGATTAACTAGAAGAAAGGAGGGAAGGGTGGCTGTAATCTCATTATCTGAATTTTCTAATTGGTTGGAACTTAAGCAGAAATGTCTTGTTCCTGAAACTTCACACAACCTCTTGGCCAGTGTTCAGGAGAACACTACTATTACTAATGATATATTTAATATCTATTGAACAGCCATGGTATAACTGGTACTGCTGAACAGTTAATTATTATTCTAAATCTCCATGGTGCTATAATTCTCTGAGGATGGTGAAGGTGCTGATCCTGGGTCTGAAATTTTGAATAAATCTCGGGCACTGGAAATACTCTGTTGTCATTTATCTCTAAGTCTTAGAAGAGAAGGGGACATGATTAACTACAAGTAACAGGTCTATTTTAATACTTTCTTAATATACAGTAGGTGCCTATATTGCTGGACTTTGGTGAAAATCAGGGGTGTGGCAAATTAATGAAGACATTCCGGTCCCACATTATTTACTCCCTAGCAACACTGAAAATTCTCTGCCTTGTGGAAGCAGTAATCCCACTGAGCTGAGGGTCACACCATATTCCAGACTGCTCTTAAATGACTACTCCTAAGTCATACAAAAGCATATTTTTTTCTTTAGGAATTTTATCTTTTCATAAGATTAGTAAGAGCAAAAATGACCTCCAACTCAAGGCAATTTCTTTGTATTAGAGTCAAAGGGTTTGACTTTTAATTCACTTTTCTTAAGAGAGGCAATGCCTGCTGAGACCAATCCACTTTGTCATCACTGGTGTTCAACAGCATTTTAAACACGCTGAAGCTGACCATCAGCCTTTAGAACCATCTCATTGTTTCTTTGGGTATAGTCACACAACCATTTCTTTAAGCTAGCATTCATACTCTACCATGGAAATGGTAAAAAAACATTGAATGAGGATAGAAAAGCTTCAGGTTTACATTTCATTTTCATGGATGAAAACTGATGTGAAAAGTGGATCATATCATTAGGAAAGTATATAAAATATCTGGAAATTCCAACAATAAAACATCTTTATATTAGTAAGTGGGTTTATTGACATAACTGAACATAACAGTGTATGACATTTATTCATTTCCCACTGAAAGACTTTTCAGTGAAACTATTTTAAATAGAACACAGATGCAGGAATTAGGCATTTTCAATGATGTTCTATAGTTGAAAAGATGGGTGAGAGACAGAATTAGAGGTCTCTTCCAGATTTTCAGTGGGACTCAATATTCCACTGCTGTGCAATAGAAATAGCTAAGAAATGGAATCACACTATGCATTAAAAAAAAGCCAGGAATATGAAAGGTGCCAGATACCACGTGGGTGGAAAATAAGAGATCAACTCTACCTCTCCCATGTACCCATATGCTCTGAATCTAAAACAAGGGCTGGTAGCAAAGAAAGAATGACAGTCTATTTCCTGTGGTTTATTAAGTTTGGGCCCCATGGATAAGACTGCCAGAAAAGCAGCTGTAGTTTAAGTGATCTGGACATTTACTCATCTGAACATAAACAAAAACCAGTTAATTTAGATTCCCTGGATACCTGCTCAGTGGTTGGGATGAGGGCAGGCCTGGCTCAATCTAGGCCAAACATAAATGGAGTGAATTGGGTTGAAGGACCTCCGGGCTGTGATGGATTCCCTGAGACATCACGACCCTCAGGGCTGGCGGCCCTACACAGAAGATCGACTGTTAGCACCATCCTAGTGGTCTCCACGGTGCTCCACTGCTAATAAATCCATAGCTACAGTAAATGGAACCATAGAGCATACCCTCTTAGTGACTGCATTTTTAGACCACACAATTAGTAATGTACACGCAACCACTCCATTTAATGATAAACATGTACTTCATAAATATCAGGGAACGAAAATATCCTAGATAGCTAAAAACACTGAACAAGCAAGACAGCCTAACCCTAAGTTTAAAATAAAACACTGAAGATAAATACAACTATTTACTAAAAGATAAGATTTAATAACACAATAAAACACTGGGTAGTAGAGGGATTAATTTGAAAACATATAATTATTTCACAGTGAGGTTTAAATACTCATAACAATTTCCTGGTTTTAGTAGAAACAGACACCCACTGATGTATTTCTTTTCACATTTGTTTTCCATAATTTTTTCATCTATTTCATACAAAGAAAAGCATTAATGTGGTCAAAGGCAACACTGTCAATTGACAATCACCTTTTCTTTTGTCCCTGTTTTGCTGGGCATCAAACCCAGGGCCTCACACATTCACGCTAAACAAGTGTTTTACCACTGAGCTACCCCCAGCCTGGACAATTATCTTCTGCTTCCCCATTAGGAAATCACTTTTATCACTTAACCGAAACTCAAGAGAAGTAGGCACAGTCAAGTGAGTGTCACTGATAAAAATGCAATAAGCACTTTGCATTTATTCCCATCTGGACACACTGTCAGAGATGTGGTAAGTGAGCTGGAACCCAGAGTTCCCTAGGGAGTCATCAGTTACATACATATTACATTCTTTTATCAAATCTGGTATTGAAATTTCCTTTTCCATAATAGGTCTAAAAAATACAATTGAAACCACAGGAGCAACCCTGACAGAGAGGTCTTGCATGCAACTGTCTCCTGAGAAAGTACGTAAGTTTTAGTTACTGTCAAAGTTGCCCAGCGTTCTTATCCTGTTCATGTTAAAAGGAAAATAATCAAACAGCCCACTCTAACGAAAACAGTCTGTATCCATCAGTTTGTTAAATATCAGAGCTCTTCACATTGTTGAAGAAAAAAATAGTGTCTGTTGTTATTTAACCTTCCAGTTTCCTGAATGCACCTTCAGCCAACATACATGAGTTCCTAGGTGAGAGTTTCCACCTGTGTACAACAACCTCCTTGGCAGAGACCACCAAACCAGTGTGGTCAGTTGCCAAACTTCCTTTGTAATGGTGTCAAGTTCCTTTATCCTTAAATAGAAATAAATCTCCTCTGTTTGACACTGGGCAAACATAAAGCATGCACCAGAATCCTTCTGGCTACGCTGGGGATACAAGCACTCCTGTCTACCCCAAAGGAGGCCAGATGAGTGCATTGCATCCAATCCAGGAACCATTCCCTAGTGGCACCAAAGTCTCCCACCTCTGCCCCACCATCCAGCCGTCCCCTACTATTGGCTTTAAGCACCAAGTACTATCCATTTACTTCACAAGTACTGGTGAGTGGCTCTCTGTCCCCTTGGATTCTCTGGCAAATGCACAAAAAGGGAGTAGGAGATTTGATAAAAGAAGGCTTTCCACTGAGGTGGGGTGGAGGGGCCCCAGAGAGGCACTTTAAGACCACTGAGATGGTCTCCTGGAGGTCCTGCATCTAGTCTGCAAATCGTTGCAGGAGGTGGTCCTCCCGCCTCAAGCTGCCACTAGCGCCCCCACCAGCGCTGTCCATGAAGCGGTCGCAGGGAAACTCGATGAGGTCGGCCTCGCTGAGCGCGCACACGGTGGTGCGCGGCCGGTGAGACTGGAATCCAGAGAAGTCAGCAGAGACGCCGGTGCCCATGGAGCGCAGGGGCCTTCGGGTGGAGTACATGTGCCGAACGTGGACCGGGGCCCCGCCTTTCCGCCTGGCCCGCAGCTTCCTCCTCAGCCAGCGCGACCCCCAGGCAGCCAAAGCTAGGAGCACCAGCAGCGCGTTGACGGCCAGCAGGGTCAAGGTCAGCAGCTGATAGTTGACGCCACTCTGGCTACTAGGCTCCGGCAGGGTGACCAGCCCTGCGCAGTGGTCTCTGGGGGCCACGGGGCAGACTCGGCCCCCAAGCACGCCCTCGACACACACTAGGTAGGGGGTGTCCCCGCGCAGCTCGCGGAGCGTGGCCGAGTCACTGCGCTCGGGCAGGTAGACGAAGCGGTGGAACTTGGGCTGTTGGCCAAAGCGGTCGAAGAGCAAGCGGAAGCGCGCGCCGCCCAGGGGCCGAGGGCTGCGGTGCGCACGAACCTCCCAGCGCACCGAGGCGCTGTTGGCATCCACAGCCTCTACCGTTAGGTTGCACAGAATGAACTTATTGAAGTCGCACGGATCCGACACCAGCGGCGGCAGGCCAACCCCGCCGTCGGACTGGGCAGCGCGCTCCTGCTGCTCCTCGGAGGCCAGGCGCTGCTTCGCTGCGCGGCGGGCGGGCGATGATGCAAGGGCGGGCTCGGCCGTCGGTGTGGGGTCCGCGCGGGAAGGGCCGGCGCGGGTCGGACGTCCAGGCTGGGGCTTCTCGTGCAGGTCCAGGGGCTGTGGAGCTGGGCCCATGGCAGCAGCTGCAGAGGGGTCCGCGTGCTGCAGAAGGCCTGGGCCCCTCCGGCTCAGCCTTAGAACACTGTGGTTACCCAGGAGCTCCCTGGCGGCCTCGTCCCAGGCCACTCCAGTTAGAAATCCCCCCCGCTGTTGGGGCAGTGGCTGCGGTGGCAGCTCCTCTGCAAAACCTCCTGCAGGGGGCGTCATCTCCTCTTCCCCCGAGGGTGTGGGGAGGAGGGGCCGCCTGCTGTCGGCTGTCGGGGACGCCGAGGGCGGGGGATCCGCGCAGGACCCGTTCTGTAGCTGCTGGTCATCCAGGTAATCCAAATACTTGCCCCGCAGAGCCGGGGGATGGCGACACTGTACGAAGACGGTGAGAAGCCGGCCCTGCGAGTGCCAGTCGCCCATCCAGCGTTTCAGGCCCCGCAGCCGGCAGTCGCAGGTCCAGCCGTTGCCATCTAGATCCAGCCGGTAAAGGGCCGGGCTGGCAGCGAAGATGTCCCCGGAGAGGGCACTGAGCGCGTTGTCGCGCAGGCTGAGTTCTCGCAGTCGGCCCAGGTGGCCGAAGGTGGCGGGGTGCAGGGCAGACAGGTCATTGTCGCTTAGGTCCAGCGCCTCTAGACTGTGCAGAGGTTCCAGCAACTCCAAGGGAAGTTGGCTCAGCCGATTGCCCTCGAGGCGTAGCTCGCGCAGGGCCTCCAATCCCCAAAAGGCCTCTGGCGCGAGGTGCGTGAGCTGGTTGCCCCTGAGCGAGAGAAGGCCGAGGCGCGGTAGGTGCTGGAAAACGCGCGGGCCCAGGTGCTGCAGGCTGTTGGCCGAGAGGATGAGAGTGGAGAGGGAGCGCAGCGGGGCGAAGGTGGCCGCGTGGCGCAGGGAAGGCTGCAGCTCGTTGGCAGACAGGTTGAGGAAGCGCAGCTTGCCCAGTTGGGCGAAGGCGTTCTTGCCCAGGAAGCGGATCCGGTTAGATTCCAGATGTAGGTACAGCAGGTTGCCCAGGGGGGCGAAGACTGCGTCTGGCAGCACCCCCAGGGCGTTCCCATCCAGCCGCAGCTTGACCAGACTCTCCAAGCCCTCGAAGGAGCCGCGGTTTAGGCGGTTGATTTCATTGCCATTGGCATAGAGAATGCGCAGCTTTCGCAGCGGGGCCAGCGTGCTAGGCGCTAGCGCCTGCAAAAGGTTGTTCCCCAGGTAGAGCTCTTCCAGCCGGGAGAGCTTCTCGAAGGTCTTGGGGTGCAGAGAGCGGATCTGGTTGTATTGCAAGTCCAGCCGTCTGAGCTGCCCCAGGCGGTGGAAGTCGAAGGCGGTGATGTTAGTTATGAAGTTGCCTCCGAGGCTGTAGGTGAGCACGTCCTGCGGGCTAGGCAGAGAGCTGGTCTTGGGCACTGAGCGGAGCCCCCTGTTGGTGCACAAGAGGTGCTGGGGGTGCTGGCAGTCGCAGCGCTCAGGGCACACCGGCTCGGCCCGCGGCGGGAGCGCGAGGCAGCCGCACACCAGGAGCAGGAAGCGCACGGCGAGGTCAGCCTCCATCGCCGCCCGCCCTGCTTGCTGCGGCCGGATCGTCCTCTTAGCCTGCCTGCTCTGTGTCTCCTCTGCATTCCCCTTGGCCTGGCCAGAGTCGCTAAATGGCCTCTTTCGGACTTCACTGCGCAGTCCAGCCCCTCCTCCGTTCTTTGTCCGGTGGCTGGCCCCTGTCTCTGCAGGCGGGCCTCGCTGGGCCAAGTCAGGCGCTCAGGGCGCTCGGCGAATTCCGGGTGCTACTTGTTGCATTTTTGCAGAAAACTCTTTCGGGGGCGGGGGGGGAGCAAGACCTGGTGCTTTTTGTTTGCAGCGGAGTCCGGAGAGCTGGATTCCCTGGCGCGGATTCTCCCCGCTGAGCGGATTCCCCAGCTGCAGAAGGCCGCCCTTCCAAAAGCTCCTGGGGGCGCGGCTTGGCTGTGGAGCCCCGGGGGCTCGGCCCCCGCAGCCGGCGCCCCCTCGGTCTTGGTCCGGGAATCCGAGCGCAGCCCGGGTGGAACCACCCGGGGAGCGCGCGGGCTGCGTCCGGAAGGGACCCAAGTCGGCGAGTAGCGAGCAAACCGGGCGGAAATTCGTTCTTCCCACACTCTGCCCCCCGGGGACGCAGGCGAAGAAAAAGGAGACGGCGGAGGGAGGACAGACCCCAGCAGGGGGAGGAGGAAACACTAAGTGGCTCCGCGTCTGGTCAGCCAGAGCCCGGGACGCTAAGTGAGAAAAATAGGGATTAAAAACAGCTGTACGGGTCGCACAGGCAAGGCTGGGGGCGGGGGTGGATTACCGGGCGAGCAAACGAGATTTGCAGACAGAGACCTTTTTATTTTAGGCGAGTAGACCAGCCGCTGCGGAGCCGTGGGAGCGCGCTTCACCTTACCGTTTTAATTCGGTTGCTCTCCCAGGTGCCAGCCTGCGGCAAGTTTGGGCAGCGCAGAGTTCGCCAGCATTCTCTGGGAAGTTTGGGGGAACACAAGGTTGACTGAAGAAGACTGTCGGTGGGCCGCTGCTGAAGAGGCTAGTTCAGCCCATCAGGACTTTTGCGTGATTTGGTCTTTGACAAGGAACCCGGGCGGAGGAGAGGCCCCGCCCCTTCTAGGTGTTTGATCTGAATATTTGCTGGATCTTGCGGTAGGACAGAGCAGAAGAAAGAAAGCTTGGAACGGGTTCTGCCACCGTGAGACTATCTCCGTCAGATTTTGGTGATTCAGCTCCATTAATTTTCCAGTCTCAGAGCCCTGGGGGAGGCCGTGAACACGTTCATGTATATAAAATAACCTTCACAGACCTATGTTACCTGCAGGCCCTCCTCCTACTTTATGCCTGGGCTTGCAGTGCTTTTCAAAGTCTTATGTCCAGAAGTGCTCAGACCTGGCTTAGTTGGGGGAGATACAATTTATTATCAATTGAGAATGGTGGATTTTATCGGTAGCTCCTGTGGGCAGCCCCTACTACAAATGAGAATGGACAAGAGATAGCTCTTAATGCTGTAATCCCAGCACTCTGGGAGGCTGAGGCAGAAGGAACACCACTTCCAGCCCAGCCCTGTCAACTAAACAACTTGGTAACACCCTATATCAACAAAACAAAACTTTGTATATGCAGACTACCTTGTAAAAAATAACAGCTCATTCTCACCCCACGGTATTCAGAAAATGTTAACTTTCTAGAATCTACTTTGAGCAACAGCTGGGAAAATGAAGAGACATCCTCACCTCCAGGATGACATCTAGTGGGGGGGCAATACTTTGGAAAGACAAAAATATGAGGTCTTGAGAAAACTTCAAAGACTTGAATGTTTTTTTAAAAAAATAATTCCAGTGTTTCATTGCCCCAGTGAGAAATTAATACAGGGAAGTGAAGGGATAGAGGCTGGTTTTAAATTTAGAGAAAGATGAAAGCGCTGGAAGGGTGGAAGTGAGGAGTTCACGGCTGATCAGGGAACTTGACTTTGGAGGGAGATGGGTGTGGAAGATCCAGGTAAGTAGAGAGAAAAGTCCTTTTGGGGCAGTGTATCAACCAGGTTTGCTTGTGATTTGCTTGGGGTAGTGAGTCAAAGGTGAACTTGGGAAACAGCGTGTCTGCTTTACCAAGATGAAATAGGAGGTTGCCCAGATGGTTTGGTGTTTAATTCTTATTGTGAGAACCTTCTGATGCCCCTCTAGTTCTTGACTTCTGTGGAAGTGTGGCTGCCCCAAAGAGGGGACCCACACTCCTAATTTAAGCCAAAAAAGTTGTCAGGAGGACCTTCAGTCTTTGCCAGCAATAGAAACGATCCAAAACTTTTAGAGGAAAGACTACTTGAAGAATGCTAACTTCCTGTTGGACCCAGGTATATAGGGAATGGAGCTGAATCCACCCACAACCTCCTGGATGGAGAACAGGCTGGAGGCTGAGAGAGGCCTGGTATGGAAGAGGAATACCAGACATAGGACCTCACCCCTTTCATAAGCCTCTTCTCTTCCAGACCCTTCACAGAAGACTTGCAGAGTACATGAGGGCCCTCAGAGAGCCACTTGAGTTTGATTAACCATCCATCACTTATAGATACCCCAGTTTACACAAAGTTATCAGCTCTTTGAAAGTATTCAATATTTTTTTTTACCTTTTGTGCTTTGGTATCATTACCCAGGGCTTAGTATTGCCACCAGTAGTCTTGAATTGCTGCTGGTAAAATAACATTGTACATAGTTTCATGTCAAAAGACAATTGATCTTCCATCACATCCCATTTTCTCCAAGCAACCCATCTGCTGCGTGTAGTTGACACTGTTTACAATGGTTATAACATTCTGTACGTCGAGTGTGAACAGTTTCTGGTAGGTATTGCTCACAACTTCCATCCAGTTTCAGTGAGAGTAAGATTTTGAAATCTACAGATAAAGTGACAACACACATGTGCATATAAATTTTTTCTCGAAAAGTGTAACTACCACCTTTTAAACAAATGTTCCCCTTTTAAAGGCGAGTAGCCTGGGGCTGACTTTACAAATGAATGATATTTAAATACTTCAGAGTAAATTGATGTGGTATCTTTACCACATGTCCTCATGGTTTCCTTTCCTTTAGTGCTACATGCTCAGGTGCTTGAATCATTTTCAGACCATTTTCTTTTAGGCATTACAATGATATTTCACTTGAATCCAATAGCACTTAAATCCCTTGGTAATGAAGAATTATAACAGCAACTCCAAAATTACATTTGCTTAGAATCCTTACTGCTGCTGATGAGCAGAAGAGAAGTGGTGAGTGAGAACTTGCCTTGTGCCAAATCTTAGAATGAGGATGGGCAGGAGTGGTTGATAAGATATACAGGTGGAACTCAGGGCAGCTCGGCGGAGAGGCCCATGATCAGGGAGCAGTGACAGCAGCAGGTGATAGGGGATGGGTGGGGGCACCCTGGTCAAGGCAGGCTTCTCAAGTGGGAGAAGTGAGTGCTGAGCTTGAGTTGAGTGGTGTTACCTGGCCAGAGCTGAGAGAGCCCTCAAGGAGAGGAAGCCTGAAAACATGTAAGAGAAGGATTTAGGGACTTCCACATCTTCCATCTTCATCATTGAGATGACATTTGCTAACATTTGCCTTCCTTAACAGCATCAGGCAACCCAGTTTGAATAATGATCTGAAATAAATACCCCTTTGATGTCTTTAAGGATTTCACCAGGCAGTTGAATGCATCATATTTGCACTACTACATTCAGAGAAATCACTGCCTAAATAAACGAAGTGGATGCTATGCAAGGAGAATATCTCCTTGGTTCTGTCCCTTCTAGGTCCTTAAAATCTGTGACGGTGATATCACAGAGTTGGACAAGTGTGGCCAGAGCATCCACATCATGGTATTTACCTATGAGCATATACCTATGGTCATATAGATATTATACATACAGCACCACCCCTGACCAGGGCAATGTGGGCTCCCACTCTGAACTCTGTGCTTTAGAAGGTGGCATTTCCAGTCTTTCTCTGGCTGTGCTGTTCCTCCTAAGAGCAGGATTTCAGGCCTCTTAGGGGATGTTCTGCCATAGCCCACACTCTGACTCAGCTGTGTTCCTGGACCCTGGAATTCTCGGTGCAATGCCCCAAGTCTGTGTGGGTCTGGTCCCACCGTTCTCCTGGAAGCTGCTCATGTGACAAGTGTATGTTCCCCTAGGGCCCGGGGAAGCCCCAGCTGGAGCTGTGTCCAGGGTTTCCCCAGGAGACCTCTAGTAACACAGGAGTGAAACCTGGAAAGAGGGGTTTTGGTCTCCTTTCACATCCAATATCGAGAGGTGCTTTGAGGGTAAAAGGAAAGTATATGTTTGATTTAGAACAGGGACAAAATTCTAGGAGCTTGAAAGAAAGCATGTTTTGGGAAATGTAAATTCTCCTTTATTATAACATAGGCTAGCCTAATTTTCTATGAAAAACAATGCTCTTTAGTAAAAGCAAGGGCACAGTTGTCTGCATCAAAATAACTATCTCTTAACTAAGCAATGTCTTTGTTAATGGATAGATCCAGGCTTGATCGGGTTCCAGGAGACTCAAGTATTGACTACACTTAAATGTATAATTAGCATTATCACAACTGGAAATGCAGGAAGGAATGCTATTCAAAAGTGAAACAATTTTTTCATTTCATTTTTGGAAGCTTGCACTTTAAATTTCAAATGCACTGGAGGGTAGTTTCAGAGGTCAGATGCACAGATAGGCGAGTTTGGGCTAGTTCTCTGACATGTAAGTGTGGGGTAAGGACTCTCCGTGCTCTTGCCCAGGCATGACATCTTCATCTTCTCGGGCTCGCAAGGGATGTACTATGTTTTCCTAAAGAGCTTGTTGCTCCCTTCACCTTCACCTGTAGAGGCATGGAGGATTCCAGGCCATATCTTCAGTAGCCCCTGGAGCTGGCATGAGTTGGCCCAGGACTGCCCTGGTACAAGGTGGGCCAGGGGAGGAGAGCTGCAGCCAAGGCTCCCCTGCAGTGGGGTCAGGAGGTAGGGCCGGCCAACCCTGCTGGAGCAGTGTCCTGGAGCTTGCCCAGGGCAGGGCGGCCTGTAGGGAGGGCAGCTGTTCCTTCACCCTCATGAGCCAACTCCAGACAGCCAGTGTGGCCCCTGACACATTTGAAGTAGGAAACTGGAGAGTCCTCAGGGGTCTCTCTGCATGCTAGTAAATGACCCCCAGAGTTATCTTTCTCTGTGTGAACGAGCACATCTTAATGCCAGCCTGTGAGACAAGTTTCTTTTCCTTGGAGATCGGAATGTGAATGAGACAACTGCTGGTTTACAGAATATCTGCCAATGCTCCCTTTGAAAAATACAGGAATCCAGGTCTCTGGCTAGGAACCAGCCTTATTAAAGCAGAATCTCTGGGCAGAAAAGCCACAGCATCTACATTTGTAAATTCACTAGATAGTTTATATGTCGCTCAGGTTTGAGGAAACAAATAGACAGTAATTCAAAACATGTATTTATAATCAGCTGATCATACAGGTTGGAAATTTCTAATTTGAAATGCTTGGAACAAGGTGTGTTTTAGATTTTGGAGTGTTTGTATTTTGGA